CGAAGAGAGTTAGGAGATACTCGTCCGGTCTGTAAAGGTCCTTGACTCGGGTTACTTGGTTGTCCTATCTCTACAGATGCATCAGATACACGTCCGGTCTGTATGTGTGGCTGAGACATCGCTCCAAAATTACCACGTCCTTGAAATTTTCACGACCACAGCTCGTCCCGCCTCTCCCACGTTTTCCTCGTCCAATTCCTCTCATTTCCTGCAATAAAACATACAAAGAAAATGATTGATCAGAATAGAGAAAATATTAATTCACTGAATATATTACTGGCTCAAATATGGCAGTATTAGTCAATATTTTTATCATTGTTTTAGGGCCAAAAGAAGCAAAATAGATGGAGAACAGCAATGGTCTAAGGCACATTACAGCAGACACACACAACCACATAGAAAAGCACCCCATCTACCATCCATACACCCTATCAGGAACCTTCAGATTAGCTAAGAACCTGCCAAACACAATATTTCTGAAAAACATAGCAGAAATGCTCTCATTTTCACTAACACTGTTTTCTGTTTTACAGGTGGCCCCTCTAATGTTCTGATCCCTCAACTGGTATGGTTCGTGGGAGTGGTATCAGCATCTTTGATGCTCAATCTCCTAGAATCATACCAATTGTAAACCAACCATCACCTCTCCAGAATCACCCCCAAATCATCAACAGAAAGTGCAGGATTCAGGAGTTTCAAATAGATGCTATAATCTGTAGCAATGCATCAGCAGTTTCAACCTTTTTGAAATTTTCTGCATATGTTTTCATTATGTTGACCTATTTCATATAGTTTAATCACCAAATAAGGAAAAACATATAGAGAACTTCAAAAATGAGACATAGACATAAAGCTTCAAGCATCAGAAGAAAATCAAAAAAGAAATATAAAGATTCAAGCTTCACTAATCTTTGGTTCATTGACAGTTCCAAACAAATACATGGGGTAGTATAATGTCATAAAAAATATAGAGAATTTTCAAAATAGGATGTAATATCTATATCATTAGTCTTTTGCTTCTTAGTCTTCAAGAGGATGTATCAGTGTCCTCCCCATCATCATCAGCAAATAATTCTTCTTCGCTATCTTCACTCTCTGATACTTATATATGATTGTCATTAATGAAATCATCTTCCTCATTATGCACATTGTTTTGAGCTTGCGTACTTGCATGATCGT